TTTCACAATCTCCCAAAAAAAAAAAAAAAATCCCACTAGACGTTGATAAAGTAGCTTGAAACTGGCAGGAACTGACAGTAGTGTATGAAACATACAGACAATGCTAACTCCACTCACATTATTCCTATAGACTCCTCATCTGAATCACATGTGTAGGGCGAATCTCCTTATGTTTTTTTTCCTATAGAAGAAACATCTAAGTGTTGAAAATCAATGCTCCGGATTTCCGCCATTTTGATACCATCTTTTCAACGTAGTGCGAGCAGTGTTGATTGGCGTGGCACTAGGCCTGTGATATTTGCAAATTTCACAATTCATAGATCAAGAATTTCTCAAGGTAAAAATAATTGATCTGCTTCCAGCACCTTTAATACAAGGAGTTATTTGTTCTGGGAAAAACCATGTCAAGCTAAATATTAATTACAACAAGTATTTGCCTTCGTCTGGAGGGAACTTTAAGTTAAGTTGGCAAGGGCTTGTGAGTTTGCACCTGGTGTGAAATCCCCCTCTGTGCATTTACGTACGCAATATGATAGACATTTGTTGCCTGCCAAAACTGTCAAAGGTTTTGACAGAAAGAATGTTCTCCGTTGCAACACAAAGAAAAAGATAGATTTGAGTGTAGATTTTGTAATCTTCTACTTCTATGACATTATCTCTCTTTGTCTTTGTTTTTCTATGAAGGTTTTGCACCCATCAGTGGTATGTGCAGCAAGTACAGGAGTTGTACCATCAATGAGGATACAGGACTGGGCTTGGCCTTCACCATCGCTCACGAGTCCGGACACAAGTATGTTCAACATAAATGTGCATTGAATCAATCTTAAAAACACAGCATCAGGCCACACAGACTTGAACAGACTCTAGTGTCATTTCTGAGCAGAACAGTATACCAGTCACTATATTGGCTCTGTGCTGTGAGAATGAATCTATATTAAATGAAATAAATGTGGTCTGATTTACACACATATACGCTGAAATCAGAGCATTACGTTAGAGCACTACCTCATCCATCTCTGTCACTTCATGATGGAATAATGGTAACTGCCTCAGGCCTCATGTGTCTGTGTTTGTATTTAGATGTTTCCATTGAGATAGGAAACCTGTTTATTTTTTTATATTTGGGGGATTTTCATGTTGATTTTCATTTCTCTGGCATGTTTTTGACACATACTTGGAACAATAGCTTTTACTCAAACGAGTTGGTAATATGTAAGAATATCCATAACATGCAAATAACAAAAATTCCTCAAATTCAAGGACCCGACATGGCATAGTCGAGGCAAGTTATTGCTGGTAACTATGGTAATGAAAAAAAAGCTGCAGCATTCTTAACAAAAGTACAAAAAAACAACTTGCATTTCTATTATTTGTCATCAACTCGAGCATTTTCAACAACACATATATTATTATTATTATTGCAGTCAAATACCTTTTACGGAGCCCCTAAAGGTTCATGGAGAAAAAAAAAAGTATCTTGTGCGCACGATATACTTTCGCGTTCGCAAAAAATACTTTCTCGTGCGCACGATATACTTTCTCGTGCGCAGTCTGCGCACAATATACTTTTTTGTGCGCACAAGATAGTTTCTCGTTCGCACGAAAAAGTTACCGGTGCGTCAAGTAGGAAGTGGAGCACACAGGAGACAACCGTTTCATTGCAGACTGTTATGTTTATGTGGAGAAATGGCAGTGCATACATTATTTGAGATATATTTCAAACTCAGACTTCATTTAGGGACATTTTGCCAGGGGTGTAGAGCTATTTGTTTAAGCACCGGATTTGCAAAACAGAAGAGTAACACGTTACTGCCTCCAGTGCCCTGTATGACGAAGCCAGTTCAACAGACCCTGGATATTTTTGAGTTACACGGCTTACCTAACCCTAACAAACGCGATCTCGCTGAACGGTCCTACGAAGCTGGTTATCAGCTCAGTAAATCAACCAGGGTCCGGCTGAGAGCGCGTTCATGTGAAAGGCCCCGTTTTTGGTTGCGTTTCCACTTGGCCTAGTACCGGCTAGCGGGTCCTAATTCAAAGTTTTTCTGGCCCCATAAAATCGTGGTTCTAGGGTCAGGAACAACCAGGCTGAGTTGGGCTGAGTATGCTAAACTAGAGAGAGAATCGCTGGCAAGGGGGCTACAACAAAATGAACATATTTGACCGTGATTCAATTGTAATACACGTTTCAAAATGATGCCGAAGTAACAACATACTGATACCGGTTAGTAAAAACCATGAATTAATGCTTTGACAAGTCTGCAGACAGACGGCAGGCGAAAAACATTTTAAAATGCGTGTCGTCTAAATGGAGATTGGCTAAGCTAACGTTGTAAATGCTCCGACCGTCCACACTCACAACAACGGCCTATACAGACATAAATAAACCAGCGACTGTATTCGCCATGACACAGACAGTCTGTGGTTTGATGATAGGTAACGAAGGGTTCTTCGTCCCAAAAAGGATCTAGGATTACCGCGCAAGGTGACGTCGCGCCTCGAGCGAAATTCGTACGGCTCGGCACGCCGTTTCCGTTTGTAAACTGGTTAGTGGTTTGTCCGCTTCGACACGACTTTCGCGTCGCAGTATTGAGTACTTACTTATCATTTTCATCGATTAGGCGAAGCCTCCAGTCCGGTACACGGCGTCCTCAGGACTTCGCTCCTCCAAAGAAAGATATTTTCCCGACACCCGGTCGTTCTATGACACTCTCAGTGCCTGTCTTAGTAATCAGTTTTCGTCTGGCAAATGTCCTGAGAGTTAAGTTAGTTGCTAAAATAAAATATATCCGGTTGATAGGTGTTTTACATGTAAACAAGAGTGACTGAAGTGTCAAACATGTCTTATAGGTCATACTGTGGGGGGGGGGGGGGGTAGCTGTGAGGAGACAGGAATCTGGGAGTGTAGCTGTTCTTTTGAAGCCTTTTGGGGAGTCAAATTTTCCCCTTTTTACGTTGACCGACGTAGATTAGCGGGATTGATATTGATAGTTTTCCTTCCAGAATTGCGCGGAGAATTTTTGCCTATCCCACGACAGACGGCGAGTTTGGTTTTGACTTCGACTCAGTGGTTTCACCACGCAACTATTTTTCCGAGACACGAGGGTAACAGAAAATACCGTGTAAAGGTGTGGGGGGGAGCGAGCGGAGCCGAGATACATACCGATCCGGAGCAATCTGACGAGTGAAATACCGCGTAAAGGTTATGTCAATCCTTTGACCCCACAATAGATATCCATTGCGTTCTCATCCGCCTTCGGCACTGCAGTAAAGTTACTCTCGGGTCTTTTTCTGTTGTAAATTCGGCAATTCGGGGAGTCCGAGTGTCGAGAATAGACAGTCCTTTGATCTGTTTGAA